ACTGTACCTCGGTAACAAAGGCAGGCTACTCTTTGACCGAATGAATTTGGATGACAAATCATTGAAGGATGTCATCGCTACATTGGACAGATACTGGGGCAAATCTGCGAATGAGCAAATGACTCTTTTCATCTCTGAATTAGAATGCTCTCCGAGTGCACCGGAGGCCCCTTTGATGGTACACGTAGTGTTGAGCCCCACTGCTCTTGAACAAGTATTGCATCCCTTGAACCTTCTTTGCCCTCCACTAATACACATGTCGTGCAGTCGATTGTACACAAAAGTGAACTTCATAAGATTTCTCAGTCGCAAACTCAAAAAGTCTCGGGTATAACTTTGGTTAGCAAACAAATCACAACAAAGTGAAATCTGAAAAACCAGTCGGTGGAAAATCGAAAAAGTGCTCAGAACGTGTGCAATATTGATTCAAGTGACAGCGACGGTCGCGTTCCGCGTTCCATTATGCAGAAAATCGCCTATCAAAAGTCTCCTCAGGAAGGCACACAACATTTGCCACTTGATTCGATTACTGGCACCTTAATATGTGCAAAACAGAATGCGTTGGTTCCGTTTATGGAGACCAAGAAAGCAGAGGAAACCCACAATGTGTGCCAGTGTCAAGATTCACATAATCATGTTGCAAGGTCGCACGGAATTCATCAAAATGGAGGGACTCATCAGGTTTAGAAGAAGAGGGGTGAGTCTAGATTTGTTTCACCCTTGAAATTGGAAACATGAACCCACCAAGAGCGACAAAAAAAACGGGTTTATGTGTCGCTTCTCGGAATTCTGCCACCCAAACCTTGCCCATCTCAACTCAAAACTGACTATGGAAACAAAGATCATTCCGGAACCGTACTTCGGAGGTTGAGGAAAATGCAACATTCTTCTGCTCGGATAAGGAAGACATTGTTTAAACTATGCAAATCATCACTAATTTATGATTTGGCGTTTTTACCTGTGAAAAGACTAACCCTCACTTAATTTGTGGAAAGAGAGGTGATGTTGTGGTCGACAACTGACTGATTCGCTTGTCATAAATGCCTGTGGCCAGATTGATTGATTAATCGATTAACTGACTGTTTGAATTCTGGCTTGACGGCATTCGCATGTAGTGAAAGGTGTGTGCCGGACTCTGCCTGCCTGCCTTCCTACATACTGATCGTTCCTGCTTGTTCCCCGGTTTGTGTACCGGCTACAATGAACTTACTACTTCACTTGTTGTGTGCTCATTTGCCTACTTACTTTTGGACACAACATTTGGTTATCACTCCTCCATTCAAATTTCTTCTCAAGGGATTTCACCTTCGAAACAATTCGTCAAATGACGATTATTACCCGAAACAATTGCCACTGGAACCGTAAGAAAAAATTCCGTCTCTCCGCGTTGAGGATGCTAATCTACTTTCTGTATTCGAACATCGATGTCCCCGAAGCACGGCTCGTGTCTGGTGGGAACATCGGATGAGCAATGTCGAGAGATACGGCCCAGAATAAAAGTCAGTGACGTGAATGCCGTGCGGTCTGCCTGTTGGAGTCCCGTACCCAATAAAAAAATAGGATCAACTAACACTCAAAATTCAAAAACGTGTACAATGAAACAAAATTTGTTATCCCATTTATTTGCAATTTTCCAACTTAACAGTTTCGCCTTTTTTTACTAAGTTCTGCGACCCAAACACGCGCATCCCGTCAACCTCTCAATCTGGGGGCTTTCAACGTGAGGACTCTTATGCAGGTGGGTTAACAGGCGTGTCTTGCGCGTACAATGCATCTCTAGAAATCGATGTCTGTTGCGTAACGGAGACACGAATTCAGGATCCTAGTATTATACTGAGTGTGCCGGGTCTGTCCGCGAGGTACTTCCTTCGCACATCAGGAGACGACGAAGCCTGCTTACTGGGTCAGCGTGGTATAGGTATCGTACTAAACGATAAAGCTGAAGCCTCTATGATAGACTGGATACCGGTCAATGGTTGTCTATGAGCAATGAGGCTACAGGGTTGAGTTAGTGTTCGGAAGGTTAGCAACACCAAGATGTGTTTGTTCATAATTTCCGTGTATGTACCAACCAACTACAGTCCCGCTTCACAAAAGAACGAATTTTACGATAAACTCGCCAAACTTATTCGGTTGAGCCGCAACTCGGATATTATAGTGCTGGCAGGTGATTTTAACGCGCAGGTTGGAAAACTGAGCGCACCGGGAGCCTGTCTAGGAGGGCACTTCGCCTTCCCCGCCCAGTGAGCAGACAACGGTGTTCGACTACTTCAGTTCTGCGCGAATCAACGGCTGTTCTTATCCAGCACTTTTGGCACAGCTGTCGTCGAACGGCTACATGGTGTTCTAGTTCAACGGCAAAATTGACCCAAATTGACCACATAGCTGTCAGCTACCGTTGGCGTGGTTCAGTACAGAATTGTAAATCCTATTGGACCACCTGCGTTGAGTCGAATCATGCACTAGTTCTGTAACACTTCGCTCTTCGACTCGTTGGTCATCGGCAGAAATCGCCTCCTCAATTAGCTCACTATGGTCTGCGTGATCCAGCTACCTGCGCACGCTATAAACAAGAGCTGAGAGAATCGCGACATGATGGAGTAGACCAACAGTGGAATCAGACTGCATTTGTGATGCACTCAGCAACAAAATTTGCTTGTGGGACTGAGCCCGAAGCTCGCCGAAGGCACTGGATCTCTCAGGAGTCAGTATTCCTAATGGATCAAAAGTGTAAGATCTAAATCTGCCAGGATCAGCATCAGGATCGGTGTCGCGTGCAACGTCAACTCAGAAATAGCCTTGAGAAAGATTGTGAAAATTGGTGAGCCAAAATAGCTAGTGAAATGGGGCTAGCTTCTGCATCAGGGAACAGTCAAAGAGTGTTTCACCTGATATGCACCACTGTAGGTCGTCGCATACCGGTCAATGAGACCATTTGCGATAAAAGTTGCCAGAGTATCCACAATAAAGAACAACGACTTGATCGTTCGGCACAGTATTTTAGCGGTCAGTTCAATTGGCTCAGTGCTTATGTGGTCATTCCAGCAATTGCGGCGGAAACTCCATGGCTGATAACGTGTGAGAACCCATCAGAATCGGAAGTACTAAGGCGCATTCAACCATTACAGAAAGGGAAGGCTGCGGTACCCGATGGGCCTCTCCCTATTCTTTTTAAGGTTGGCGATGATTTTCTTGTCGACTCAATTACTAGCTCACTTCGCAGCATTTGGACGGAGGAGCGTACTCCTTTGTCATGCGGAGAATCGTTGATCGTCCCGATCTTCAAGAAGGGATCACACAACGACTGCGCTAACCACCGTGGGGCTAGTGTAGTTCCGATAATCACAAAAGTGTTGATTTCTGTGATACTTCGTCGCCTG